GACAGAGCTGGAGTGTGACGGCTGAGTGATCGTACATTTAGTATGTCCTGGGTTTGAGCACGGTCACATGACTTCTGTGTCAGAGACTGTGATGAAGGTGATACAGTGTCACGCATCACAGAGGTCATCTCAGACCCTCCTGTTCCTTTTCAATCTGAGCTTGAGACTACTACAGTAGGACTTCTCACCTAAACCGGTCACCATAATTACTGCAACTTGTCTTATGTAAGTTATTCAATTTATGATGGAAAGAACTGTACAATGCTGAATTAGGAAGTTCTTTGACTAATTATAGATGCTAGTACTAAGAATGAGCTATCAGTGATATTGATGGGTTTCCACAGATAAAAAATGTAGCCGATATTTGGCATATTTTTTCTCCACTGCCTCTGTCTGTGTGTGTCCACAGTGCCTCAGATTTGTCTTTTTGAAGAGATTAATGAGTAAAAATGGAAAGAGAAGAGCAGTTAAGCCACAAATACAAATATTTACACAATTATGCAACAAATGGTTTCGAATCCTAGATAAATGTTGTTACAAAAAGTGAAGTTACAACAATTTTTCTACTTTACTACTACTGATAATGTTGGAGCCATGCACCTTGTGTCACCAGTAGAGGGTGCTGTAAGGTAGTCTGCATTTGGGAGGACCCCTCCTGTGCTCCTCAGGTGTTGCAATCTGGTGAAGCACAATGTCAGGCATCTTTGTATGATTTGAACCTTTTTGATACATAAATAAACTTTTAACATTTGAAGTAATAAAATTATTTTTATTAAGATTATTTCCTCCCTTGGATTTGTCTACTTGTCTCCCAGAGACAAGATTAGCCTGTTACTGTTTTCCAGCTCTGCATCCCTAAGAAGTCAAAGCGGGATTTATCCAGATAACATTGGCTTTAATGCTTTAAAATTTATCATTCATCATCTATATTTTCAGCAATATATTATACTTCAGAATGTGTTATAGTGACAGGCCTCTCAGGGGATCAGAGCAAAGACACACAAGGTTAATTGAGTTCACTTATTTAGACACAGCGTCACCGTGTTCTTATTTAGCAGTCACTGTATTTAATTTTCCCCTCCGTGCTCAACTGTCAGAAATATCTCATCTCAACTAGAAAACAAACACATAACTGTACTTGCCCTTCATATTACACAAAAGCCCTGACAGGCCTGCAACAGCCTGTAAAAGGAGGTATCTGATGAACAGTCAAACTTACTGCTTGTAGAGGCTCCTGTGTGTACAATTTTCAAATCAATACTTGACACTATCAGCCAAAAGTCGGTCTGGCTTTCAAGGCTGTGCAAACACTCCTTTAGATATGTTCATGTGACTGGAGAAGAATATAATCAAACAACTGAACTTTATTAAACTTTCAAGTAAAAATGTGCTGGCTACAACTCAACAAAATCTCTGCTTAATATCTGGACGCCAACTGCTCCTGACTGGTGGTTGAATTGGCAATGTAAGACTGATTAAAGAGGATAAATATACTAGTATAGGGACAGTTATGTCTTATTCCCATATTTTTGGATAGAGTCTATTATTTTCTGATCTACATTATAATGTTGTTACCTCATCAAAAATATACCTAGAGTTGTGCTTTGCTTCATTCAGGCATGTTTAGCACACATATCCTGCATATTTAGGCTGAGTTATTTTGTCAAAAACACTCTGAAAACATAACTCCCATAATGGCAAAAGTTAACAACAGAAGTAGCTCACATTAGCTCCTTACTTGACCTATCTCTATAATTCACTGTCTCGTCATTCCAGGCCATTATGATTGGGTAGTGCACTCACTTAGCCGTCTCCAATGCGTTTAGCTGTCAAACATCCCCCTGTGGGCTCCTTGTCTTCATGTGTGTGGAGAAATGCCCTGACCTATATCTTCACTAAGTATTAGATAATATAGCCCTGCAGAGGAGATGGATGCATTAGTTGATGGCTGTGTAAGAAAGCTCTGGTTGACATTGTTATAAAGTGCTTGTTTGCTGCAGATGTCCTTTGTGTTGTCTATCTTCCATCCCTAATAGCCACTGATAGCTTGATAGAGCAGATCATTAAAGTGTCATTAGCAAGAGAGCTCTGAGGCAACGGCCGCTAAACAAGACTTTCAGCTGATAGAGTTAGGGTTTTTTCTCTCCATTCACTAACATGGATTTTAGATAATACTTTTTACTTTTGAAAACAACATCATACCCTCTTTACTTTCTCTACTCTTTATTTATTGGTATGATCTTTTGGTCTTAAATTCACATCATTCTGAGATCTGTGGATACAGTGACCTTTTGCTATGATATTTGCAATGATATTATGTATGAGTATGGTGGAATCAGCTCATTAGTTACCATTAGGGATGTAACAATAACCAAAATATCATGATATTGTATTGTCAAAAGTCTCACAATAATATCGTGGGCTACCACAATATATCGAATTACAAGTTCCTTTACTTAAATGCATGGTTTTACAGTAGCAACAGCTTATAAACATAGGGAACTACATATCCCATGATTCATTTCAGCACAAACAACATGAAAATATATGTTGTTTTTTTTTTACTTGAATTCTTGGGATTATGATGGGAATAATTCACACCAAAATCTTGTCAAGGTATTTTAAAAGCAGAAACATGTCCTATCTACAATTATATTAGCCCCCACAAAATAAATAAATAACTAAATATCATACCAAGAGATTTGGATATGGTTACATAGTTACCATAGTAACTAACCAAAAAAGTTTTTAGTTTTTCATTTTTTAAATTTAACTGAAAACTCAAGAAAAAAAACCTAAATGTATTTAAGTAACACATTTTCAGTAGCCTGTTATCACCCAAACGTATTGATCCCATTTTTGCGTTGATTGATTTCTACTGATTAATACTGTGGGTTTCAAAATAATCTAACACAATATACCATAAATGCCCATGACACATAAGGAAATATAAAGGAAATCTATGAGGTTTTCAGCAGCTATGACGCCCTGCAGCTCAGTGGCAGTTTAGGGCCATTCAGAATCACAGACTTGACTACTGCAATCAATTAAAAAACACAATTTACCAAGGCTGCAATTATATAGGTAATTTAACACAATATTTAGTCTCCATGGTAACTATTATCTATAAACTACCCACTAACCCATAAATCCTGTTCTGCGAAACAGCTGCTCCTCAAACATGTTCTGAAGTGCGTGTGATTTCTGTTAAGGGGTTAATATTTCAGTTTAAAAATATAATGTAGGACTGCAACTAATGATTATTGTAGTATTTGATCAATCAGTGATTCTTGTTTTACAATGAGTCAATTGGTCAAACAATTATTTCTATTCTAGACTGAAACTTATTCAGCACTTTTTAACCAAATAACAGTTTAAAGATGATGAAGACTTCTGGACAGCATTTTTATTTAAAGCAGACCTACTATGCAAAATCAAGCTTTTAGATGAATATTATGAAAACTGTAATATAATGATTATAATTGTTATGAAGCAGACACAAGCACAGTAGGTCTTCTTTAATAATGCTGCTGTCTTTGTTATAAAAGGTCTTCTGGCATGTATTGTAGAGTCTGTAGTGTTATATTAGTATTTCTGTTGAAGAAGTCATGATTATTATGAACAATTGCAGACCAGTATATTCAATGTTATATATTTGAAACTAAATTATTTTACCACCTCAATTTGTATAAGAGGGCCATACATTGCTGTTTGAGAAAGTTGATTGCTCTCAAAGCACACTCTGAGATGCTGTTTATGGAGCCAAAGAGTTTTAAACTGAAGGTTGTGGATGGATTTTAGGTGCTGTAAATCATTTTACATTAGCAGCTTCCATAAAGTGCAACACTTCACTTGTTCAATTGATTAAAGCCCTGCTCTGCCATTGTCTGACTTATAAAACTATCTGCTAACTGATTTATGCTCATATAAGTGACACCAAGTAACAAATCACAGGCTGAAGAACAAATGAAGGTACAGAAACACTGTTCAGCTCTGCAGCTCAGATCTGAATACAAGTCATGCTCTTGCTTCTCTCAGAACTCTACTGCCCTCAAGTGGCAACAAGAAAACAATGAATCCTCTTTGTGCAATAAGTGCTTCTTTTTGAGAATGTTCTTGATTTTGTATATTTATTTTTTGCAAGGTTTGAAGTTAGGGAAGAAACAAATTATAGAGCTGAGATCACAATTAAAATTTTAGCACAAATGATACTGCTTTATCTGCCATTAAGGGGTAACTAAAGCCAACTAACACTTCTGAGAGCACATACTTTGCTGTGATTAGGTTGAATCCAGCTGTCACTCATTCAGAGCATGAACAAGGTTGGCCAGTAGGAGGAGTGGGTGGGGAAAAGTGTCTGTGTTTTTATTGAGCATAGAGCTGCATTAACTGAGAGGCACTGAATCCTGATCTGACACTCTCATAAAAACTCCATATCCACCAAATTGTTCAGCCCTGTTTTATGTTCCTAGAGGTTTGATTCAAAATCCACTTTGTTTATGCAGCACATTTTATAAACAACAGTTTCCAAAGTGATGCACAGAGATAGAAAACTATAAAAAAAATTGTAATAAATGGTCCTATAACAATAGAAAACAAATAAAAACATTACTTTAAACCATGAGATATCAATAAACAAAACTAATGATGCCAGCACCAATAAAGAGATACACCAGTGTGTCTCAACATGAGGTATGTGGTATGGCACTTGAACAGCTCTTCGTTTTGTCGGTCTACCTAATTTAAATTTAATTTTATCTTTTTTTTTTGTCCTCCTTTTAATGACTTCTTGTGTAGAACAGCAATGGAAATTATGTAGTCCACTTTTACAGTTGGTTTAGCCCAAGATGAGACCTGGAATAACCCTGTGATATTGATTCAGAGATCTGGTAGTACTCAGAAAAACAAATCTTTTCTTTGATGGTACTTGGTGAAAAATTTAAGAACCACTGAGATATATAGTATAGTACGTCTTACCATCTCCTTCTTTCTGTTTACAGTTTTCATCATGGCGGCTGGTCTGCTAGTTTACCCCTTCGGCCTGAACTCCACTCTGGTGCGGTCGTTTTGCGGAGACGCTGATATCTACTACGCCGGGGAGTGCCAGATCGGCTGGGGCTACATGCTGGCCATTGTCGGGGTCATGCTCACCGTTTTCTTGCCCTTTTTTGCCAAATATGCACCAAAAGAGCAGCTTTCTCCCACCCCCCTGCCCACACTGTTATAGTGCTCTGACAAGTCTTGTTTTTCTACTTTCCCTGTACTCATCATGGAACAACATGGACCGATATACTCAAATGTTTTGTATGCCCCTGAAAAATTCGAATAATATGTCTTCCCCTGTTTAAATCTGAGTTTCTTTCTTTTTGGCTTTATGCTTGCGTTCAGTGTAAAATCCAAAATATGTGTCCAATTATTTGTAAGGTCCAAAAACACTATCTTACATTCCAATTTCGTCTTCAGCTTGCCAACATGAAAATTTAAGACCGATAAGATTTATCAATGAGGGACATAATAAAAATGGATGAGGTTTCAGAATCAATGCAGCAAGATCCTTGGAGATGTTCACCAGGAGAACAATGCATTGGATTGTACATAGAACATGGACTCACAAAGCCATGCATTAAGTTCAAGGATGGGACAGGTTGTCAAGTGACATTTGAGATTGTGCTTTCACCGTGCACCCCGGCGGTTAAAACGTCTGTTCTTAAATACAGTGTAATTAATGTCAAAGAAAAGGACAATGCTCCCAGCTTTTGACCTGCCAAAAGGACAAAAAAGGACATGAGGAAAGAAGTGAACGTAATAAACAGTGTTGTCATTTGTGGTACCGTCCAGATGCAGAATTCTTCCTTTGTCGATGCTCTAAATTTGTACATTTTTGCTTGTCAAATGTAAGCAATCTTTTCCTCTTTGCAACAGAGACTAATTCAGGAAAAATCGATGCAAAAGGCAGGGAAATCGTTTTTAAAAAAATGTCAAAAATGCATGATGGCTTTTGTTAACGGTAAAACATTTCAATGTGATCTGACCACTTTGTGCCTTTGACATAACCAAGACAAGTGTTAATAAGATGATCAGGTCTCCTCTCTTTTTGCTCAAAACAAACTGTGGACCCTGTTGTGTGGATTTCTGTTTGACTTGTTGTTGTTGTGGTGAGGTCTTGTCTGTACCTGATGCCGTATGATCTGTTTAACTGGAAACAATATTTTTCAGAGTGAAGCTTTTTGTTGTGCTTGGTGGTGATGACAAAGAAGAGAGGTTAAGGAAAATATTGAACTGAAATTTTGTGGTATGTTTGTTATGAGTTTTTTTTAATATATATATCGCCATGGTTTTGGACCCAGTTAACAAACAAACATAGTGAAATCCTTTCCATTCACGTTCATTGACATTACTAGATTACCAATATGGACACCTACTATAATTAAGGCCCCCTCTAATTTATATTAGAGGGGGCCCAGGTGAGGCTTCTTGCCCTGGGTCCCCAAATTTCCGCAGACGGGCCTGACTATAATACATAGTTTTTGTGCATTTTTAAAACTCTTATTGAAACATTTCTTTGCTTTATAACCTCCTAAGTGATTTACATACTGCTTAGTTTTACTTGACATCATAACTTTCTATTAGCCTATAATATTTAATGGAGATGTGGGCAAATAAAATAACTAGGTTCAATATTTTAGGACTTTCCTTTCAGTAATTTCTAATAAAAATGTACTAAAAATGTACTATGTACTATAAAGTAAAAAGAGAACTGGCTCTTGTTTGGAATACGCATAAAACCCTAATATTAGATTAATTAATTGTATTCCTATTGTTGCTTTAACCTTAATAACTGTGAGTCTGTGAAAAGAAGATTTACTTTGTATTTTTTTGCTACATTCAAACTCGATTAAATGTGGACATGGCAACAACTAATACTCTTTTGAATAAGCTGTAGTGTGGTGTGCCATTCTCAAGTTTCAAGGACAAAATCTCTGCTTTTTCACTTACCATTATTGTACACTGCCAATTTCATTAAGCCCAAACCTTTCCTGTGTGAATCTCTGTGCATAATAATGTTACCAATGGTTTTAACACACAAACACAAAGAAATATGATTCCCAAATGTTCTGAAAATGAACAAAAAGAGAATAATTATGTTCCTTAAAGAATTATGTTAAAGAAGGACAGTAAAGACATGTTGGTATGATATTGGATCTTCTGTGTTGCTTGGCTGTCTGAATGACTGGGTGACTGCACTGGAAATCTCCCTCTTATTTGTTAAACAGTTGTGTGTAAAGTCTCAGCACTGGTGAACATGTTTTATTAGAATAGGATATTGTTTTGTTTTCATTGTGATGAACTGTAAATAAACTGTTCTTGATCTTGACCTGTCATTCAATCGGACCCATTCTTCAGAAATATACTTGTGAATATGTTGATATCTCCTGAACTCTCTTTCTAATAAAAAACTCTTTACTCACGGGACATTAACAAATAACTCCAATGATTTAAAATAATCATCTTTTTATTTGTTTTAAAATAAATATAAATACAAATGTGTTATAACACCTTAAAAAATACAGCAAATATCAGTAATGTTAACAATGAAAAATGCAATGAACTTGAACTTATAATAACACTCTCTTACAGTTTTGCTTTCTAACAAGGGCAGTTGTTGTCTAGGCTTCCCTGAAAGTCTTGACCAGGGCGCTCATTTCAGCGTCACAGATCCTGACAGCCTCTTGTGCGTTCCTCTGCTCTGAAGGCAGTGCCGGGCGGATGGATACGCACACCAGGACATCTCTGCTGCGGTCATAGTTACCGACGCAACGAAGGACCTGACGACGAATGAGACGAGGAAGCTCCTTCTCCTACGGGACGAGAGTTAAAGGTTACACAATCCGACACAATGTGTAGTGTTTGCTCTCATTTTTCTGGGGCTGCAAAAGCACAACTCAATATATTGCAATGACAAGAGTCTCCATCTGACAGTAGTGTATTGTTTGTTTTAAATTATGTTAATTGCTGATTTCATTAATGATTTTCCCAAATTAGCCAATGTTATGATGCATTATGTATAGATAATGCAAAAAAAATGGCTGACTTAATAAAGAATATGTTAAATTTGGATGATATAGCCTTGATTCATTTTTGGTTTTATCACTGTTCTAGTTTTATTTTGTCATTTTATTTTGTATGCACTGTTATCACAACAGCCATTGCGATCTTTTCCAATAATGTGCAGCCCTATTTCTTTACACACACATTTTCATAGTAAACACATTGGACAACTTCCTTCCCGTCTTGTATGAGGAAATGCTTTGCTCCATGTGGCCCCAGTGTCACAGCAGAGTCTAGAGTGGCTGAAAAAGAAAAGATGTTTCATAGTTAAAGAACCATTGTTACGTGTAAAAAAAAAAAAAAAGGCAGATGTAAATACAATACACAAAATTATGCAGCCTTAACCCACACTGACCAAATATCTCAAATAAATATGGAACTTTGTCTCTAAACTGGCTCCAGTGCTTCATCCCGTTAATCACTGCTGTGAGGATCCGCAGAGACATCTCGTTTGCTGGTATTATCTGAAATGTTGTTTGCGCCTGTAAATAAAATAAATAATACAATTTATATAACCAGGTACAAATAAAGGTGCACTATGTAACTTTTCTGGTGGAGGATGTGCCACCTTTACAGTGATGGCTTTACTTAGAATATTCCACAGTACGGCATTAAATTGATCCGTTTCCAAGGAGACAGGACACTACCAAACCAAGTTAGGTAGAAACGTGATCCTCCTCACAGTAAGACTGTATTTTTACTTCCGCCAAGGAGATTATGTTTTTGCCGGTGTTTGTCTGTTTGTTTGTTTGTTTGTCTGTTAGCAACATAACTCAAAAAGTTATGGACCGATTTTGATGAAATTTTCAGGATTTGTTGGAAATGTGAAAAGGAAGAACTGATTTCATTTTGGGGGTGATCCGGAACAAATCCTGGATTCTGGATCACTTTGAAATTTTAGTTAACATTGTGGTAAATGGGACCAAAAATTTTGTTTCTCAATATCTCGGTTAATTATTGACCAAACCCCATGAAATTTGACTCAGGGATGGACAATGGGATCCTCTTTCATATTCCAAATTGAAAGATACGAGACAAATATTTATGGAAAACACAATTAATATGAGGGGGACTGTAGTCCTTGGCGGAGGTCTGCGCTCTCTGAGTGCTTTTCTAGTTTTTCAAGGTATTTTTGAGAAAGACAAAAGTCTGTAACTGAACAAATGCAAGAAAGAGTAACTGTGGAACACACCAGTCAAAGTAATCACATTTCCACAGAACGTTCATCATAAAGTTACACAGTATATCTTTAAATATAAATAAATGAATCCATGTAGTGATTGTGTACCTTCACTTGAAAGTTGCTTGGTTTTGTGCCTTTTTTCCGTTCTAACACTGCAGGCTGTGGGCCGAAGCTGTTAGTGAAGTTCCAGGCTTTAGATTGCTGGTGGCTTTTCAAAGGGGCGGGCTGGGTGGACTTTTGGGTGGACTGCATGAGAGGGGTGGGATGGGTTCCTGCTTGCACTGAAGAAGGCTGAGGAGGACAGGCCGACCGTTGGGAAAACTTAAAAGTGGTATTGGGAGGTTTGTAGGATGCCTGCTGCTGACACATCTGTGAAGACCTGGAGAGACGTGCTGGTCCACTGTGGTTGTTCTGAGATGGTTGGTATTGATTCAATCCTGAGTTAACGACAGCATCACGTTGTCTGACTGAGTAGTTGGTTTGCTCACTTTTGGTGCTGAGAAAAATGAATCAGAGGATTATTATGCAAAAATTATTTATGTTAATTGTTATGCACAGAGTAAAGTAGCCAAAGATAGTATTCAAGGGTAAGGTTACTGCAAAATTATAAAATAAATTATATTACTCAGGTAAAATAAGTATGTATTAGTCAAAGAAATTACTTTAGTTGTAAGACATTTTTTTCAGGAAAGTAAGAGTAATGTAAGAGCTTACTGCCTGGACATAACATCTGATTTATAATTTGAGGCTGGTTGTAATTAGACAAAAGGACAAAACATTAAACGTGATTAAGTCTATAAGAGTATTTGAAAAAGATAAACCACAATCAGAAAAAAATAAAAATAAAAAATTTTATCTGAAGGAATGGTGCAAAAAACACAAATGTTAAAATTATTTAACACTGTCAACATAACATTTTGTCAGAGTGGAACGAGTCACCAAAACCATTACCCAAGTAAGATTACTGTTCAAACTACATATTACACGAGTGGGAGAAAAAAATGTATGTAAAAAAAGTATATGTGTGTCACTCTGAATTGAATTCCACACATTGTCAATTTGGAATGGCTCTAGCTGAAAGCAATCAGAAAACAAGGATTCATCATGACGACTAATTGCACTCACAAATATTGCAAGATTACATCTCTCTGTCCAAAGTTAAGAAAAAGTATGCAGTCCAAAAACATACCTGTTGTTCCCTGCTTTGTAAGGATGTGGTACAGGAGCATATTGCCTGATTGTTGGAGCACCTCTGGGCCCTGGCCTCATGCTGCTGTACTGACTCTGGGGCTGTGAAGGTGGTTGGACTTTCTGCTCTTGATGAACTGTCTTTTCAGGTTTGGGTGGTTGATAGAATCCAAAGCTTCCTGTTCCAGAGAAATGCTAAAATTAGAACCACAAACCATGTCTTAAATATGATTTGTTTTTCATAATGAATGTGTCTAGTGTTTGGAAATACCTGAATCTGTACATTACGTTTTATTATTATTTTTTTACATCAGTCACTTTACTCCAGTAGTTTCTCCAAATACTTCTTTACTCTTTAAGTCACAATTATGTACCTCTAATATACTAATAATATTTCAAGATTGGTTTACTCTACACGTTTCGTCTACTCCACCCACCTCTGGATTGTAGGCATTATAAACGCAATAAACCTCACTGTACTCATATTTTTGTTGTACTAGCGCCACCTGGTGACATAAAAGGTTAAGTACTGATCCCCAATAACAGATCCATGGTCCTGATAGTTCTTCTCTCGTTCACACCTGATGCTTGGAAAGGCGCAGCAGTGTTGAACTCATTAAAGCTAAAGGATTCATTTGCCGGAGGTGCAGATGTCAACGGGACACGAGTTCTTTTCTTTTGGTTAAAGAGTGGCACTAGAACACAGCCAGGAAAAATACAACTTAACAGTACAGTACAAACATGATTATAGTCTGTATGAGCATTTTGTTCTTTACTCACCTGTTGGAAAGGCCATTTGGTTTTCTTGACGTTTCATTCCCCGTATGACACCCAAAATACTGCCATATAGTTGTTAACTGGAAACAGTAGGCAAAGGCTATAATTTATTAACAGACAGCATAACATGAAATAAATATTTAATCAGATTAACCTGCGATGAAATTAATAAATTTGCTAGCCAAGGGTTAGCTAGCATAAACTCAACCATATGCAAATTAATTATTACAAAATTATTCTGATTAAATATTTACCTATCAAAGTGCAAGAAAGTGGAAGAATGTTACAATTTATAGCATAGCAGTACATAATAAATCTCTACAAACCCCGAAGTCCTTTTTAATCAAAGGTTTCGAGCGCAGCTTTATTTTTAGCGCGGGTCACTCACTGTCAATGGGAGCCCTAGTATGATGGGAACGCTCTTCAGCAGATATTTTCTATTTTATGGTTTCTTTAAGGTGCATGGGTGGAATAGAAGGAAACCAAAAACAGAAATTTGGAAGATGGCAATTGAAATTTCACTTAATTTTGAGCCAATTAAGCCACTACCGATGTGTCCTTGGGCAAGGCACTTCCTCAAGGGTAGGGCATTCATTATTGTTATTGATGTTTAGGCCTTCTTGTGAGAATCTGCAAGGGTCTACGCTACTTTTTATTTTATTTTTATATTTTTCTTTTTTCTATTTGACTTTAGTTTGATATCTCAAGTGTGGTAATAACGCCAGGACTCAATCATGCATTTCTCTTCTCTTAACACGTCATTATATCTGACAGCTATTTTTGTTTAGATCAGACACGAAGCACATGCACTGTGAGGGAAATCTGACGCTTAAAGTTTGTATAATGGTGGGGCCACATTTCGCAATCTTTCTGGAAGTTTCATGAGTGAAGCCAAGCCTATAAACTCCGGCTAAACCACGAATGTGCAGACTTCAGTACCAACCTGGCAACCCTCGCGCTGTTCAGTGGGAGGCGCTACTCCACAGTAGTTTCTGGAAAGAACCTCATGCATGCACCATGGAGAAAGTGAGTAGTCACATAGATGCCCTTTATTTTATTAAAAGGTTTATATTTAATCGTGTGACATTAACGTTTATGTCTCGACACGTTATATTACTGTTTTTAGTCTAGTCGTTTCAAAGCGGGCTGCTGTTTCTAGTGATATTTCATTGTACGGATAATACAGTAGCTAGCTAAGCTCTTAGCCTGCTGCAATGTGTTCCTGGTGAAGCCTGTTTCTGATGCAGCTTCAGTGGAAATTAATTCCAACGCCACGTGAAGCTCAAGGCCATGAACGAGATTTTAACTAGACATTTGTGAAATTGTTTTACTTTAATCATTTAACTGCAGCTAACTAGCATGTTAGCATCTACTTTAGCCACTGCCATTTCCTGACTAGGAATATTTTCTTTTCAATAACTGATCAGAACGACCTTTTAATCTTAACTGTTTACTACACGTTAACATGAGTAATTTTATTGGATAATAAATTAACACAAATATGTCTGCATTATCAATGCAGCAAGAAGTGTTCGTTTTTTTCCATCACATTCCCGTAGCCCCGTAAGATAACAGCGTTTATTTACTTTTTTTTTTGCTGTTCACATTACACTTGAGATTACTGTGATCATCTTGAGCAGTGTCCGAGGCAGCTGCTTGCGCTCTCAGACCGGAGGATTTTTCTAGACGCACACGGACCTGCTGTTATGGTTACAGCTGTAAAGTGTCAAAACCGTCGTGCTCATCCATTTTGTTCTTAAATTTTGTTATATCTTGTATATCTAACATAATCATAATCCTGAAATCACTGCTGTGCTGCCGCACTTATCATATTTCCTGAAGTGGGTGCATGTCCTTCCAGTTCTAAATTGGATTCTAAAACACTGCGCTCAGCACTGCACTAATGTAGGCTTGCTAAATGCTTCACCCTCTGCATATAAACCCCAGTTAGGTTTATGAATGATGATCATCACGCTCAGTGGTTGAAGTGAATAGATGTTGTTTTTTGTTTGTTTGTTTGTTTGTTTTTTATTATTAATCTGTCATACAGACCTCCTCACAAATAGTTTGAATGTTCCTGATGTTTATTATATGAACTGTTTGTTATTTATTCTTGCATTTTTATTTTTGCTTCTCCAGGTGTCAGCATTGAAAGACCAGGGAAACAAGGCACTGAGTGCAGGGAATGTTGATGAAGCTATACGGTGCTACAGCGAAGCCATAGGTCTTGATCCCTCCAACCATGTTCTCTACAGTAATCGTTCAGCTGCTTATGCCAAGAAAGGAAACTATGAGAACGCTCTCCAGGATGCCTGTCAGACCATCAAGATTAAGCCTGACTGGGGAAAAGTAAGATCTGTTTTTGAAATTGCACTATTATACAACAGCAGTCACCTCACAAACTGAATAAAATCAGTTCTGCTTAGTCTAAGGTATTGATATTTTCAAATAAAGTTCCTTTATTTGTTTTACATCAGGGCTATTCTCGCAAAGCTGCAGCATTGGAATTTCTCGGACGGCTAGAGGAAGCAAAAGCAACTTATCACGAGGGTATTCGGCAAGAGCCAAATAACCAGCAGCTGAAGGATGGTCTGCAGAACATCGAGGTCCGGCTCGCAGGTAATTATTAATGCATTTTGTATTGTACATTTTGTATTGTATTTGTATCTTGTAAATAAGATAGACCTTTCCTGGATCGTTAATAGAATGGCCTTGATCTTTATCAGAACCACAATAAGACCACATATCAATGTTGTATCAACATTGGTATTGAGTATCAAGCTCTTTTTATAGTATCAAAATTGCATTTGAAATGTTTGTGTTGTGAAAACACTGACTGCTAATGTATTCATTGAAATCTAGGATGTTTTGAAATGGTTCCATATCATTAATGAAGACTTTTATTTGTCCTCACAGAAAAGACAATGATGAACCCCTTTGCCATACCAAACTTGTATGACAAATTGGAGAAGGATCCTCGGACACGAGATTTGTTGTCACAACCAAGCTATAGAGAACTGCTTGAACAACTTCGTAATAATCCCTCAGCGCTTGGAACGTATGTATTGACTCATATTTTATTAAATCATATAATATCTATTCTAATGTCATTGGCAATTTTATCAAAAACATGTTAATTTGTTTCAGGAAGCTACAAGATCCTAGAGTAATGACCACACTTTCGGTGCTACTCAACCTGCCTGATATGGAAGAGGAGGAAGAACCCACACCCCCTCCTCCTCCCAAACCCAAGGAGACCAAGCCGCCTCCCCCCAAAGAGGAGGACCTTCCAGAAAATAAAAGAAATGTAAGCTAATATTCTTGTTTATGGCAATTTGTAATGTAATTATACACTTTAAATGATCAATCAAATGGGTTTTTTTCAGGCCTTAAAGGAAAAAGAGCTGGGGAATGCTGCTTACAAAAATAAGGATTTTCAAACTGCACTGAAACATTATGATGAAGCTATGAAACATGATCCTACTAATATGACGTATCTTTCTAACCAAGCAGGTATCTGTACTTTTAAAAAATTGTTTATTTTTTATTTTCTGTAGCACAATTCCTCCTTTATTCCTCTGTTTTAGCTGTGTACTTTGAGATGGGAGACTATGAGAAGTGCCGGGAGATGTGCGAAAAGGCCATTGATGTTGGCAGAGAGAACAGGGAGGACTACAGACAAATAGCAAAGTGAGTTCTGTTCCGAATTACAAAACTCAATGTGACATTATTGTGTTATTTATTTATATTTGCTTACCTTGCAGGGCATTGGCTAGAATTGGTAACTCATACTTCAAGCAGGAAAAATACAAAGAAGCAGTTCAATATTTCAACAAGAGCTTGACAGAGCATCGCACTCCAGATGTCCTTAAGAAGTGTCAACAGGTGTGATAATTCATTCAAATGTTGTTTGAGACTATATGAGGCTATTGGGGAAAATATGATTTGATAAATTATCTCTTATAATTCATCCCCATAGGCAGAGAAAATCCTAAAGGAACAGGAAAAACTAGCTTATATCAATCCGGAATTGGCACTGGAAGAGAAAAATAAGGGCAATGAAGCTTTCCAGAAAGGTGACCTCTGCCTCCACTGTTAACTCTTTTTTAGTATTTATACGCATGTTTAACTTGGAGTTCTGTCTTCAGGCGATTACCCTGTTGCAATGAAGCATTACAGTGAGGCCATCAAAAGAAATCCCAATGATGCCAAACTGTTCAGTAACAGAGCAGCGTGCTACACAAAGCTGGCTGAGTTTCAACTTGCTTTGAAGGTGTGTTGTTTTTCTCTTGTTTTTTTAAATGTTAATATGTTGTATTTCTAAAAATATATCTGTATTTTTTTCTTAGGATTGTGAAGAGTGTATCAGGCTTGAGCCAGCATTCAGTAAGTGCTCATATTCTTTCATAGGCAGATGTAATTTTGTAAAGTTGTACAGGCAGTATTGAATCTTGATCTGTATTTGTCTACAGTTAAGGGATACACACGGAAAGGAGCAGCTTTGGAGGCAATGAAAGATTTCTCTAAAGCAATGGACGCATACCAAAAGGCCCTGGACCTTGACTCTACATCAAAGGTAAGATTGGACACAACAAAGTTTAATTGAATGTATGACACATTTTTTTCAGTTTGACTTGTAGTTTCAAATACATTTAATGAGCTTAATTTGTTATGATTGACAGGAGGCCACAGAAGGCATGCAGCGCTGTATGATCGGTCAGGCTGTGAGGAACGACAGCCCAGAGGAAGTGAAAAAGAGGGCTATGGCTGATCCAGAGGTGCAGCAGATAATGAGTGACCCAGCCATGCGCATGATCCTCGAGCAAATGCAGAAAGACCCACAGGCTCTTAGCGAGTATGTATCTCTGATTCTACTGCTGATACACATGAAGGAGTACATTTAATTATTTTTTTGTTTTATTCTACAGTCACCTCAAGAACCCATTTATCGCTCAGAAGATTCAGAAACTTATTGATGTTGGACTGATCGCCATTCGCTGAGACCAAACCCTTGTATGAAGAAACAACAGAGTGGATCAAAATCACAACCCTCAGTTAATACATTCTCTTGCCTTTAAAACAATGTTTGGTCTTACTTGGACCATATTTTTTATTGGTTTCTCTGTTAATGCATTGTATCTAGATCTTGCATGTAATTTTCATATGCTTAAATTGTTACTTAGACAACTGGGTTGATTTTTATACATGTGCATTCTGCAATCACAAACAGTAGACACATTGGTGAAAGGAGAAATCCACCCTATATTTTTGTTTGTCAGCACAAAAGTAAACATTTTGCATACAATTGTTTGTATGGAAAATTACAAGCAAATGTTTGAATTTGTCTTTTTGTTGTCTTATTCAAGGCCTGACTAAAGATATTCAACAGTTCAATGTAAACCTTGTATTTTTTTTAATTTTAGGAACCTGTTAATCCACATGGTTACAGAATATTCAAAGCTTAAACATTGTTTTTTGATCACTTGTAATTTCAGTACTCATTACTTTGAGAAAACTCTTATGTGGGTTCAACCTTTAGTTTGCCATTCTGAAAATTTTGTCATGTTCACCTGTGTTGATCACCCAGTTGTAACAAAAACTAGGGTGATACTCTTATGGGTGGATTTTTCTTTTCAGTTTTTTTTCAAACATTTGTAGAGCAGGAAGAGGGAGCTGTTATGCAAATATATTTTCATAACAGTCCAAGACAAATGTTGTTTTATAACTTGACAGTATTTTTTTATTTAAATATTATACAGGGATTGGTCTATACCTCAAGTCATTGGATTGTTAGACTTGAAGGAACTAAACTCAAATGTTTTCCATGTTATGATTACAGCGCTTTGATCCTATTGAAATGTTAAGAGTTAAAAGAGCACATGTGAAAAGAGACATGAGGCACTGAGTCTTTGTATGTTGTGGTTTTACAAAAATCAAACCATCATAAACAAGAACATGGGGAAAATGCAAAGAATAATGAGTGTTCTTCTCTAATCCTGCTTGGACTCAAAACATATATATATATATAGAGAGAGAGAGAGAGCTGGACCATGTTAATAAAAGTTAAAATGAAACATCTGGCCCTATTTGAACTTTCCTCCTCGCCCCACCCACTTTCAGAGTCATGTGACCAGCGTAGACCAGGCTGTGTTGAAAGCATCCGGTGTTAGCACCAAGCTATCAGCTGATAAAAATAATAGCTCTAGATCTCGATTATGAGCTAAAGGGAAACTAGTATAGACGAAGGCACTGAAGATCCCGAAAGAACATGACCTGTGTATGAGCCCTGTCTGCTCGATGGTATTTAAACAGTAAAACATTAGCGTAGCTAGCGTTCAAAGTTTGACTTGCAGAGGCTTTGCTAGCTACTACTTTGCAATCAACTACTACTACTGCCGCAAACGATGTAACCTGTCCTGTTGCTCCGGTGGAATGGCGAAATAACTGTATCTTTGACTAAACGATTGCCTGCAAATAGACAAACCATTAGTGCTAATAATAACTAAAGAATACCTTCGCGATATTTTACTCTAATGTGTTGTTGCTAACGCTAAACCGAGCAGTGTAGTGTTTATAACAAAGTAGGTACACTGTCAACTTGCGTAGTTATTTATCAGTGGCACAAGCGGACATTAAAATCATTCCCATCGATAACTGCAAATCGTAGATGTTTGTAAACATAGTACAACAACAGGATGCCCCATGACAGAGGATTAACAGCGAGACATGAGGATTTGGACCACACATCTGTCCCACAAGCGCCATGCACTGTGAAGAGCCCAAATGTGCACTATCTTATTTAGGGGTTTAAATCTTCATGTTTAAATGCCACTATAGCCTGCATTTTAGCCCAGTTTAGATTTCCATTTTTGGCTGTAATTACATTTTTGTAAGTTATGCCTGGAGACGTATCTGAAAGCAGTGATGACTCTGATTCACAAACAAATGAAAAACCCTCCACTGTCAAGCATCAGATCACTGATGGTAAGTATGTATGCTAACAAGCTCCTGAGACATTTTTATTTCAAAGTCTTTTCTTTTTTTCTTTTTTTTTTTTTACTTCAGCAAACCTTACAGGCCACACTGAGAAGGTCAGCATGGAGAACTTTGAACTGCTCAAAGTGTTGGGGACTGGAGGTTAGTGGACAACGTTATTAGAACATGAACACAATTAATTTTAGTATCTGCAGCACTAAATACAATAAATAAATGTTAACAACAAATGTAAAGTTATGTTCACATTTTCAGCTTATGGGAAGGTATTTTTGGTCAGGAAGAACAGTGGCCATGATGTGGGGCAGCTTTACGCTATGAAGGTAAGGGAATGAATGAAAGACTATTTTTACCGTTTTGTCTTTTTGATGCCTATTTTTGTAGCCGCTATGTTCACACCACCTTTCACTGTATTTTAACATTCAAACAATGTTATTAAACATTTATAACTACAATATGCTCTATTCTTCAAATGACTATTATTTACCTACCTATTATTTATTATTTATTATAAAATTATAATTAGAAAAAATAAAATGACACATTTCCTTTACTATTGCAGGTGCTGAAAAAAGCCGCCATTGTTCAAAAGGCCAAAACAACAGAACACACTCGCACTGAGAGGCAGGTGCTGGAGCACATCCGACAGTCCCCCTTCTTGGTCACATTACACTATGCCTTTCAGACTCAGAGCAAACTGCACCTCATTCTTGGTGAATATATGTTTACTTGTGTATGAAAATAAGCTTTCATTAATGCAGGTTAGCAGTTTCGGAATTTATTTCTCTCAAAGAGCAATACAGTACTTCTTAACTTACGCCAGCTGTATTTAAAATGCCTTGTGTCTATTTGACTTCAGACTATGTAAGTGGTGGAGAGATGTTTACCCATCTTTACCAGCGTGATCACTTTTCTGAGGAGGCAGTCCGAATTTACATTGGGGAAATCATATTGGCACTTGAGCATCTACACAAGGTGGAGTATTAAAGTGTACTCTCTTACTGACCAATGATCAAACATTAACATTTTAACATTGTTTGAACTGTATGTTGTTTACAGCTTGGCATTGTATATAGAGACATCAAACTGGAAAATATTCTTTTGGACAGTGAAGGCCATATAGTATTGACAGATTTTGGGCTCAGCAAAGAGTTTTTGAATGAAGAGGTTTGTAGCGCATAATAATAATAATATTTAAAATCAATATTATATGTGATTTAATTGTAATGTTTGTTTTATATAGAGGGAAAGGACGTATTCCTTTTGTGGCACTATAGAATATATGGCTCCTGAAATCATCAGAGGGAAGACTGGCCATGGAAAGGTAAGTTTGAAAAAACATGTATAAAATATACTATGAAATACTGCTTATTCTTACCTTTCCTTCTCTAGTCTGTAGATTGGTGGAGTCTTGGGATCTTAATGTTTGAACTGCTGACGGGAGCATCTCCTTTTACCCTGGAGGGAGAAAGAAACTCCCAAAGCGAAGTTTCAAAGTGAGGGCACTTTGTTTTTATGTTTTTATTTTACTTCTGCTGTGTTTTTGTTGCTGACTGTTATATTTTTGTTTTAAGACGTATTCTCCGATGTGACCCTCCATTTCCTTCTATGATCGGAGCGACTGCCCAGGACCTGTTGAAGAAGTTATTGGTTAAAGACCCTCACAGAAGATTAGGCGCTGGGCCAAGAGGGGCTGAAGACATTAAAGCACATCCATTCTTTAAGGTTTTATTACACTGCGATATCAGGCATGCAACAATTAGAGGCACCGTTTATATCTCCAGTGTTTTTTAAACAGGGTCTTAACTGGTCTGACCTAGCACAGAAGAAGGTGCCAAGTCCATTCAAACCAGAGCTGAAAAGTGAGCTGGATGTGGGGAACTTTGCTGAAGAATTTACAGGAATGGACCCTGTGTATTCTCCGGCCAGCACCCCGCCCAGCACAGACCGCCTTTTCCAGGTTAGACATGGCAACATAAGTGCTCTCTTCTTCATCTCTCTAATTGTCCAACGGTATAAGTGAATGCAATTTACTATAGTGTGTGTTGGACCTAGAGATGCGCGGATTGCGGTTACAACCGCGGTATCCGCGGTTAATCCGCGGGTCGGGCGGATGACGTGACGAAAAATTATATTTTAATTAAATTCGGGCGGGTGGCGGTTTAACTACTAAAAAAAAAAAAAAAAAGTTATTGTTAGTATTGTTATGTACATCTGAAAAGACGAGTCTCATTGCCTATGCTTGTAGTATGAAGTGTACGTCATGTCCTTAATTAGCCCATTTGACCTCGTTTTTATGTTCTGAAGGTTAAGGTTGTGTCGGGTTATTGATGCCTAAGGTTTACGAGGCACATATTATATGCAGTTTATTTTATTATTTCTAATTTATTTCAGCTGTTTGCCAACACGTAAGTGGCTATAGGGCCATATTTATTTAGTTATGCATTTTTTTTTGTTTCGATATCAGATATATTTTAAAACACGCAGACATTATAGCGTAGACTGCCACTCTGGGTATTTAAAACTTAAAGAAAGACCGATGGAGTGAGGCTATGACTTTGAAATAACATTGAGCAATGGCAGAATGTAACAACATCCAACACGAAGGCAAGAAGGTTCAAAAACAGCCTAGTCGGAAAACGTTGTCAGTTAATTAGCTGCCCAAGAAAACCAGGTAAGTTTGGGCTTGTTGCGGACAATTAAGAATGCGAACATACACGCTGAGCGAATTTTGGAATGAATGAGCTATAGAGTTTGCATTTTTATCGAGGCTCCTTAGTTTGTTTGCTGTATGATTGTTCTAAAATCTAAAATCAATCGGCGGATGGCGGGCGGGTGCAGTTTTGAAAACCTTCGGTGCAAAATGGATAGCGGGCGGATGATGAGTTTTGTGTCGCGGTTGCGGATGAAAAAATAGCCCATCCGCGCATCTCTAGTTGGACCACGGCCTTTTTAAGTTGCTATAATGCTACTTGCATTGGCACAAGTAGTTGTGGATAAATTGCACACTTTCCATAGCTTTATAAAATAAAGTGTAGAACTTTGTATTCTGTACACATGTCAGTGTAATATATGTGTACTTTTTCCTGCATACCTAGCATCTGTTCTCTTTGTCCTCAGGGCTACTCATTTGTTGCTCCATCAGTCCTGTTCAATAAAAACGCAGTCATGGGAGACTTCGTACAAACTCAGATCGGTGCTGATCGACCCGGCTCTGCCTCTGTACAAAGAAGTGCAATGCTGCGGGTAAAAGTGTCACTGGTTTTACATTGTATATGTCATTATGTATCATCACTATGATTTGAGATAACCATTTCATGTTTTCCACTTATCTTGTATATTTTATGTAATTTATACAAATGATATATGCTACTATCTCTTTGCAAGTGTAATCTTTTATAGATTAGATTTATGTATTTTTTCTTAACCCCAAGTGATCTCTTTAAAAAGAAATGTCTTTATTTCTAAAGCGCTTTTCAAAGCAAAGTACAAAGTGCTTTCAAACATAAAATATGTACAAGCATTACACACGGCGCATTTTCCAGGTAATTGCTTTAGTATTTATATATTGTCTGTGAACAATGTTCTTCTTCCAGGAGTCCCCATTTTTTGTGAACTACGAGTTGTGTCTTCTGGGGCCACCCTTGGGTGAGGGTAGTTTCTCCGTATGCAGAAAGTGCAGACATAAGCAGACTGGCAACGAGTATGCTGTGAAGATTGTCAGTCGCAGGTGAGTCGATGGTGAATCATGATGACTGCACACTATTTTTGTGACTCTCTGTGCTTAGCTGACTAGTGCTGTTCTTCTGTTTTCATTTATCATGTCTGTATGCATCATTAGAATGGAGGCAAACACCCAGAGGGAGATAGCTGCTTTGAGGCAGTGTGAATCTCACCCCAACATTGTCACATTGCACGAGGTCTACACAGACCAGGTACGACTCTTTACTGTGTATAATGTTGTTTAAATTAAGCAGTTATATTTTCTTTGTTATACTACGTTACTTTGGATTTACATGTTCTGTCTTCTCCTAAAGTTTCACACCTATTTAGTGATGGAGCTTCTCAAAGGTGGAGAGCTGCTGGAGAGAATAAAGAGAAAGAAACTGTTTGGTGAAGCTGAGGCCAGTCAGCTGTTACAGAGCCTGGTCTCAGCTGTGAGCTTCATGCATGAAGCAGGAGTTGTGCACAGAGACCTCAAACCAGAGGTAACCTTTCACATGGTCTGGACTATACAGTGAATCACATAATGTTTAGTAGGGATTTATGATGATGCTTTAAGAATATCAATTGATTCCTGATAAAAAACAGTGATCCATTAAGAATTAGCACAAGATGAGTTGATTTTAATTTCCTTCTCTTACAATGCCAACAAAGAGTGCAGTTTTTCAGGAGTTCTTCTTGCTCAGTATATAGTATTCACAATTTCCCTCAGTTGTTCTTGTTAGTGCCAGACACCTTGGCTGTATAATTATTTCATATGAAAGCAATAATTTATTTGACATTCTCATCGGATCCAGATCTGTTTTGTGCGTTGAATTTCATAATAGCTCCTCCAAAATAACACAATACTCAATACACAATTAATTTTAAATGACTGACATGCAATATGTTTGTATTTTTTTTCCAGAACATCCTCTTTGCTGATGAGGCAGAGGACTCAGTGCTCAAAGTGATAGACTTTGGCTTTGCTCGCCTTTGTCCAGCAGGGAGCGCTCCTCTACAAACTCCCTGCTTCACGCTGCAGTATGCCGCACCAGAACTTTTTGAGAGTGCGGGCTATGATAAAGCCTGTGACCTCTGGAGCCTTGGGGTCATTCTGGTAATTTATTTATTTTTGATTAATTTTCATGTTTATTTGACAGTGACAGAAACATTGTTGCAGTTTAGAGTGGAACCAGTGCCATGTCCATAACTCCATCTAGGTCAGAGCTAATTTGTAGACTTCAACCAACAATGCAACATACTGAAGATATAACACAGTTATTTACAATGAAACACCCATGTATTTACTCTGAGTGTTCAGTACAGTAGCAAGTATCTGCGATTCTATCTGTGTGTTTTGTCTGTTTTCAGTACACAATGCTGTCGGGCCAAGTGCCATTTCAGAGCAGCCAGAGAGGCATGACATCGTCATATGCAGCTGACATCATGCAGAAGATAAAAGAAGGGGACTTCTCATTGGAGGGAGAGGCCTGGAAAGGGGTCTCAGATGACGCTAAAGAACTTGTCAAAGGTATCTTAAATTAGGACAGTTTGTCCTATTTAGTAGGGCAGCAGTATCATAATCAAATTCAAAAGTGAAATTAGAGTTAGTACAATTATCAAATCGCGAAGACTACAATTATTTATATACCATAATAGAAAGTTCACGATAAACAATAAAACATTAGTCTCTAGTTTTTAGACCTCTACAAACCTATGGGATTCTTTTATTTAAATCTTCTTACAATACCAGTTTTCAAAATCGTGCTCCTCTGGTATTTAGGAAAGACCAAAGTGGGCTTGATGTGCAGTAGTTGTTGTTAAATTCTTCTGTTTGTATTGCAGGTCTGTTGACAGTGGACCCTGAGAGGCGTCTCAAACTGTCTGATCTGAAGGAGAACAGCTGGCTGCAGGGAGGAGCGTCCATGTCCACCACACCTCTGTGCACTCCAGATGTGCTAGAGTCCAGTGGACCAACCGTACGCACCTACGTCAATGCCACTTACAAGGTACTGCTGCTGGTTTTGTTAAAGTTTAATGATTACTAGGACTATATACCATAATTTCCGGACTATTGAGCGCACCTGAATATAAGGATATATATTTGCCGCACCTGTCTATAAGCCGCAGGTGTCCACCTCTTCAAGAACTTCTTCAAGTTAGAGCCATTTGTTTTTCTTTCCCGAAAGCTTTTGTCATCTTTTTGCATTGAGTCAGTTTGTCGTGCTGCCATGGCCAACATCTCACCATCGACTAACTGATGCCGAGCTTACGTGCAGCCAGATCAGTTGCCTTTAATTTAAAAGCTGCGTGATATAAATTTCTTTGTGTATTTTCCATAAGGAGGGTGTGTACAAAGCACAAAATAACTGTTCAAAACACAGTCAAACTAGCATCTTCCTTGGTGCATCACCTCCGTCTCTCTCCGTGCTCTATGGCGCATGACTCCTGCAGAAAGAGCCGCTGTCCTGTCTGGGATCATGTAGTAGTCTTGTAGGGATTTCAGCACATTTCTGACTTGCACAGGGGCTAGATAGGTTGTATCGATCAGGTATGAGTGGGTGTCCGGCAATTGAAGTTTGAGACGTTACCTCTTGTCATTTACACACTCACCTGATTTAACGCATACAGGTAAGACGTGTCACGCTCACCAATGTTAATCTCACACGCCAATATTTGTGCTGACAACAGCACTGTGTTGCAACTGCATGTTGACCGTGCAGACAGCAGCGCTCATCCACTTTGTTGCCAAACCATAGACCATGTATATATGAATGGACAATGTGCCAAAGAAATATTCCATTCATATAATAGCCGCAGCATTGTATAAGCCGCAGGGTTCAAAGTGTGAGAAAAAGGTAACAGCTTATAGTCCAGAAATTACGATACCTTTTAGTTGTTTAGTCAATTTAATTGTTGATGATGTCTTAGTAGACCAAGATTTTTATTAGTCAATTAATTATTTTATTTAGATTATAAGAATTGTTGGAGACAACAGCAGCAGTGAATTATCATTTCAGCCTGCCTACTATCCATAATTAAACTAGCCCATCTGACCCTGTTGTATTCCCACATATCATGACTACTCAAGTCTCATGGTCAAATTCATATCAAGGAGTCTTTATTATCCCTGACGGTAATTTGGTCTGCAGAAGTAGTACACAACACATGTAGATCATACATAACACAAATAGCTAGATAAAATACAGATTAGAGTGACTGATAATGCCAATGTCAAGAGCAGTAGGAATAAAAGAGTTCTTATATCCTATATAACCATTATATCAGTTAATATCATATAGCGGCATAATTCTTAGAACTTTTGCAATCTTTTGTCCTCTTTTAGCCAACATGTCTTTAGTTGATCTAGAATTTCTTTGACTACAGCCCTAATGATTACTGTTTATAGCAGGGGTGGGCAATTATTTTTTCAATGGAAATAATAAGCTGCAGTAAATAAATTGAAACACTTAGTAACATTTCCTCTGGTATGAGTCATTCAACCTCCTACAGCCCATATCTTTTCATATAGCCAAAAAATATCCAAAAAATTCCCAGTACTGCAAAGAAAAAGTTCACACGATAAATATAAAAATATACTGTTCCGTCCATCATATGTTGAACGATAAGTCGATATAATCATTTTTATTACAGGCCTAAGTCTCACCTTTTGTTTTCTTTTGGTAAACCCCTGGTAGGCTTTTAACCGCGGTAAGAGAGAGGGCTTCTTTCTGAAAAGTGTGGACAATGCCCCTCTCGCAAAGCGCCGCAAGCTGAAGATGACGAGTACAGGTGTGGAGACACGATGGAGCTCATCTTCTTCGTCCTCATCTTCATCGACCTCCTCCTCTGCCTCAGCCACTGCATCCAAAACAGCACCAAAGTCCACAGTGACCCCCAAGAAGAGTTAGCCTGGAAACAAAGTCAATGCTTTTCATATACGCCTTGTAAGTGTTGATCTGCCCACTCCAGAAACAGAATAAAAACTAAAGGTGGGTTACCATGACCATTTAAGTTTCCAGTTTCCTACATATAATATTGTCCATGAAGTTCTCTTGTTGCTTTTTTAAAATCAAACCAATAATGCATTATATTTTACACCCAAGAAGTAAGGTTTGGGATTTTATCTTTTAAATTCTATGGCCTTAAAACTGTTCTTAAGTATTACACAAAAGGAAAAAAAGGGAAGAGGAGCCATTCATGTGCAGAAGCCATATAAACTGTATAATAATGAATAGGTAGATCATTGTAGGAGCAGGAATTGCACAAAGAATAATTTCATTTGCCACATGTAACATACAGTTATGGGCAAATGGAAAGGTAGAGTTTGGCCTATAGCATCAAAAAGCTCTGGCTGTGTGGCTTTAGTTTTAGATATATATTTTAGATTGTGGATTTTAGATTTTTAGTTAGTGTAAAACAAAGTCTAGGATTGTAAACATATTTCATCAAAAGGTCACATGATCTATATTAATTAAATGGTGACCAGTTGGAGATATGGTGATGTGTGAGTAGAGGTGGGAGATACAGCAAATATTTTTTTTTCTTTAAAGATAATTTCATAATTTTGTGTTCTGGACATATGTAAAATTATAATATTGTGCTTATCAAGGTCAATATTCTTAAGTCTATTGAAAATGACAGCAAAAAGAAAGAAAAAAGAGCTGATCTTCTAGTGATATTACTGCACTATTTCAGGCACATTTTAGCGCATTCCTGGTTGTTAAATTATTGTCAGAATGATCAGTTATTGAGAATACAAAAAATATATATCATAATATTCTTTTTTTGTCAATGTCGCCCACCTCTGTGTGTGATTCTAACTCTTACATAAACCTGTGCTGTCCTAATGGGGCTATCTTTACAAAGCAGTTGCACCTTCAACACACTACCACACCACTGCCCCAGAGAACACATCAGGCGTCTCTGATTACAAGTTTGAGCCAAAATGGCGGCCGAACAACCACGCGAATGTCTGTGAGCTGTATATGAGCATTAATGTGTTGTCTCTAAAGGTTTAGCATGCTTTTGTTGTGATTTTTGTATAAATGTTTCCACTTTTATTTGACACTTTCCCATACCAGCCCAGAACTTTTGAACTGGGAATTTTAAGTTTGTAGACCCAAGCAGTTTTGATGGTTTTCTGCTGTACGGGCTGCGATGGTCACACAGATGTTTTATTTTTTACACTGTATCACTTTGAGGTGATTTTAGAGACACTTAAGACATTATGAGGGTGGACGGGCTACCTGTGAAAGCTGATTTGTACCAATCATCGATCTAAAGCAAAAAATGTATGTTTTATGGATTGGAGTCTCTGGATGTAATTATGTTTATCAGATTTTTTACATGTTCACAATTAACACATTTCAGCTTTAACGGTGCTTTCACTGGTATTTATTACTTAATTCGCTTTGTCGTTTTACAATGCCGTGGTATTGGGTTTAAACATTTAGACTTGTCTGTACCATTGCTGTTGTGTCTTCAAAGAATGATTATGAACTTGTTTGTATAAAATGAAGCAATTTTGTGTTCTGTGCTTTTCTTTGTCAGCTGCTTCTGTCTTTTAAAGTTGTTTCTAAGCATCTGCTACGATTTTATCCCAAGCTGTTTTGTTTTACTGGTGTTGATATTTTGTTGTAGTTAATATTTTTTGTTTTTGTACTTTTTATTTTGAGCATTGCTATCTTCCTGAGATGCACTGTCACTGATGTTGTAACTGGGATTTATGTTTTTGCACCGATATTTTTTGTGGGGATGGTGCAAAATAAATTGTACTTTTCAGTAGACTGGTGCTGCCTGTCATTGTGTTATGTCTTCAGTTGTATTTACTGTATTTAGACTAATTCTAACCTGAAAAGTAGTTCTATGATTGAAATGTAATGAGGTTATATTACCATTAGGTGGCTGCTGTGCGCTTCTTTTTTGGTTACTATGGAGACAGAGATGTTTCATGGGGGCTTATATAAATTGAGTAGTGCCCACAATAGAGTAGTTTCCTGGGAAGTGACTGTTTAAAGGTGCACTATGTAACTTGTCAGATGGAGGTTTGTGCATGGAGATGCTATTGGTTTCCCTAAAATCAAAGTATGGTATTTAACCTAACCTTTAATCTGTCTCCAGCAGGTAACATTACACCATGTTACAGGACAGGTCTGTGGAGAAGCAACTCCACTCAAGACATTATTAGGAATAAAATACACAACAGCAGATTTGTTTAATGCCATATTGTGGAACGGAACATCCCAGACAAAAAAGAGACCTGATAATAGAAGGCCTCATCACATGCCATATGGGACTCTAAATTACCCCTCTCACTGACTTCATACAGTGAAGTATAAAGAGGGACAAGCTTCTTCAGATAAGTTGAGGATTGTAATCACAGACATCAGGGCCAAACTGACATGTCTGTTGTTTCTGATTTACAAAACGACACAAATGGTGGTGCTATATTGGTGCGCGATGATTCAGGCGATAACACAAAAGCCGGAGAAACCAATACAAGTGATTGGCATGCTTGGTGGTTTGCTCATTGATTGTTGGCAGTGTGTGAATCCCCTGCTGAGCCTTGGGCCTAATCAAACTCTGGGCATGCTGCATATTCCACTCTCTCAGTTAGTCCTCAAAGGCCACTGATATTAGCGGATAACTCCTTTACAAAAAGGTTCATCTTCAGAGGGACAACAATAGAATAGCTACATGTTTTTCAGTAGACATCTATGGCTGAAATTATCCAAATGATTGTAATGCAGGTGAATAGATTTGGAGAAAAACAATGGAGGACTTCATATATTACCACATGGCATCACAAGGTGTTTTCTGTTTGAGAGTATTTAAGTATTCTAAAAATTCTGTGTTTGTTTATTATACATATGTGAATGAAACAAAACACAACTACAGGTATATTTTGATGAGGAAACAACATCATAACATATATCAGAAAATTATATAATATGGGCCCTTTAAAAGCTGAAACTATTCCCAGTCCTGTACCCGTGGCTGGGAAACACCAGCCTACATTCAAACATATGCAAGCAGAACACACACCATGTATTTTGTCCTAAATCATCTTTCACTTTTTGAAAATATTCCCTATTTCCAAGTTGCCTTAAGTTGCCAATAATAAATTGTTTTGTGGAAATCTGTACATTAGTCTGGCACCTCCTTGTGAGAGCGCTAAATTAAATATTGAACAGGTTATTAAAGTAGGTTATAATCCAGTTTATGTGCGATCATAAATGCAGCTCATGAACGAGCTGAAACGGTCCATTAGTTCGTGCTCCTGGACTCTGGCACTGTCCATGGTGCTGAAATGGACGCACTTTACCCTTCCGCCACTAAGTGTCACTATAATGCTGGGTTACTACTGCACAAAACAACCACAACAGAGCAGCAGAGGAAGGATGGATAACATGAATTTAACGTGTCACCCAGTCATTAATCAAATAAATTCCAAGGTGGATGGATAGCACAGAATAAATGTGATACAGGGAGAATGACAAAGATGGATTTGTGGGAAATACGTCATCACAATGTAAATGGATTGGATCAGGCTCAGAACAAAAGTGAGTTCCTTCATTTAAAAACAGCAGCAACAGCCTGCAGCCAAAATGATATACACATATTTTACATATTTATGCTTTGTTTGTATCACTGGGGTTAAGAATGTAGAGCTCATTTATATTCTTTAATATCACAGTAATGCTCGCCTGATACTTTACCGCTGATGTCATCAACATTTCTTGTGGGTGCGGTGCTAACTGAACGCACTACTCTGTCTGAAGCTCTGTTACTCAAGTTAGACTTTAATCTTATTTTAACACAGTCTGACCAGAAAGCGCTGACTTGGGTGGCACTACAACAGGTGAGCTGATCTGTGCGCTTAAATAAGTCTCTCACACATAAAATTACAATCACAAGCTAGTCATCTTAGCCTACGGTTTTTGAGTTTTGTTGAAAACTCTGTCAAACTCCTTAACAGGACCATGAACACTCGTATTAGTCACAGGCTCCTATAAATTTTCTGTTTAAATCCAGTTTGTATTTTTTTCTTGGTTTTTCTTGAAATCTTAAAAGAATTTGGTCTGTGTTTGCTAATGTTGTGTCACCATGGTAGCTACTGAATATTCCACCAATAAAGATACATGTAGAAAACCCACAGCATGATGTAGTAGTAGTAGAAGTAGTAGTAGTAGTAGTAGTAGTAGTAGTAGTAGTAGTAGTAGTAGTAGTTGTTGTTGTAGTTTATTTGGTCATTTTGCAGCACTACAAAACAAAAACAAAATTAAACAAAACATAGATTACAATCCCACAGATCATGACCAAAAGGGTTTAGGCTGAAGTAAAAGGTACTTATAAAGTCTAAACCTTTTAAACAATGACAGAATTCCAAGAAAAAAATAGCGTATGAACCACAAGTTAACATTTACAATTTCACTCAATTCAATTACTGTATATATAAGAGACAACATATAAATGAAAACAAACACAGTTGAATGCATAATTTATTCGTTCCACTCCATTCATTTCATGTCACTGCAAAGTATAAATTGTTAGTGTTAAATGTTATAGTATAGTATTATCATATAGACCTATTGCAATCTAAGCAAAATCTCATTTTGAGTTTGCAGAAGTATTAAGTCTTAAAGGCTGCAGTTATTTAGATAAAAGAATGCCCCCTGCAATGAAAAAAATACCATCTGTTTGTAGATAAATCTTGTTTTGTCTACAGTTAGACCTCTATAAACATGTTCAGAAATGTGTGATTCTTGTATTACTTCATCAGTTCATATTTCAGTTCATCTTCTCGGAAATTGTTTACTATTTGAAAATATTTAGCAAATTATTTTTTCTACCAGTAATATACAATCATACCCACTAATGTAGTATAAACATTGACTCATGTTAGTTAGTGTAAATTAATAGGATAAAAGAGAATAAAGTCTTCCTAATATCTTGTTACATGCAGTTTTCAGGCATATACATATATAGTTAGGTGCAGTATAAGCAAGTCTAAACATAAGGCTTGACTGATGGCCAGATGGACTCAGACAATGTAGCGGAAAAGGAAAATACAGCCTTCTTCCATTTTTGCCCTTATTTGCTATGTAATGTCTCTTGGGGGCTTAAGACGATGCTCGGAGATCCCAATTAAAGTTTGTCTGCTTCTCTTTTCACAGAGGCAGTACAAGCTATAAAATTGTTTATGCAGTAACTGATCCATACAGCTCTATAATAGCCTGCCACTAGAATCCACTTCCTCCCTCACATATTTGCCCCACACTGAACAAAAGCCAGTCTGAATTGTGAGTCATAGAGAGCATGCGGAGCTGTGCTGGTCAGACTTAATCAAATGGTTCAGTCTATGGAAAAACCAAGATGGCTTTTAGTTTCCATTTCACATATGGGATCTGTATAAAGGAGCATTTTAATTGGACCATCAAGGTTGATATAGCTAACTCTGACACATTTAAATGCTGTTCTAACACATGTTAAAGGTGCACTGTGTAACTTTTCTGCTGGCCTTTCTATTTTCATTTTCAAGTTAAAGGTCAGATCTGTGGAGAGGCGACCCCACTTACAGTCATAATGCCTGTTTTTCTTGGTCATTTTGAGCAATAAACCCACCTGTAATTTAATAAATATAAAGTAGAGCTGTTTAATGTCATACTGTGGAACATTCCAGCCAGAGAGATGGTATATCCACAGAAACAAGCAAGTGATGAACCTTCAACCAAAAAGTTACATAGTGCACCTTTAATTAATGTGCACTGTCCCACATTTAATACAGAAACAAAGTCCAAGTTTTGAATGTTTTTATGCAGATAACCTCTTCTAATCTGAGATGTATACAAAAATATATCTTTCTACATATAAATCTTCTTCTCTTCTTTTCAGTGACATAAATTCTTTTCCTGGTCGCCATTTTGAGAACTTTTGACCATTCAAAAGACAGAACAGCAGTGTTTATTGCTATGCCAACAGTTCTAATCTTACACCACAAAAGCCCATGGATTTTTCAGCCTCGAGACTTTATAGATTGATCCTTCAACAGTAAATGACTGGAGGAAACATAGCAGTGGAAGTTAGAGATGTGGCGGTCTGGTATTATAACAACGTTGTACATAAAGGCGAGTCGTCACAGAGCAATAAGAAACATTGTTCCATATATTACACTGGGCACAGGCCCGGTCAGATCAAACTGTTTACTTTGAAAATTGCTTTGGAAGATAAAGTCTTCACTGCAATTTATACTACAATTTAAAAAGAAGTATGTAACTGTGGCTTTTCCTTTCTTGTTAAAGGTGTACTATGTAACTTTTTGATTGAGGGCCCATCACCTGTTCATTTGTATGGATTTGTCATTGCTCTACCTATAATGTCAGAAACAGGCCTGGGGGCCAAATTTGGATGGCAATATAAATATATCTGGCCTGTGAGCTCATATCAAATATGTATTAGAGCTGCACCTCGCGCATGCACCCCTAATACTACTAATACTAATACTAATACTAATACTAATACTAATACTAATACTAATACTTTGATGAACTTGTATCTAAGAAGAGATGCCAAGTATTTGTATCTGCTTTGGACCCATGTGCATCCGAGTAAATCACAGTCTACCAAACTGAGCTTGGATAAATGTTTTCTTTATGACTTTTGACTGTTCATGTTTTAAAGATTGAACTTTAATTGAAGCAAGTTGTTATTTTTGACTGGTTGTTGGCTTGTGAAGAAAAAAACAAAACAAAACAAAACAACAAAAAAACATTTAAATGGAGTTTAA